CTATGAGGAGATGGCTGGGACACTTAAGAAGGCAGAAGTCGGTTTGATGGGCTCCAATAGCAGGGGCTGATACAAGTTATGGTTCCAGTCGTCTCAGACTTCTCTCTTGAGAGAACACCTCCCCCATTAACCCAAGTCACAAGGCCAGGGAATGCACTCAGGAATTCTTAGAATGATCAAGATCCAGAGCCATCTAAAATAATTAAAAACGCAAAACATTCCACTGCTAGCACTATCTTCTTTGCTGTGGAATCTTTCATTTTTGTCTGAATGCTAACTTATTTAAAAAGGCCAGAGTCGTTCCCCAGGGAAAATGTTACCCAATAAACTCTTCCCTCACTGTGTTTCTGAAAGGCTGTGTGTAAAGCGTGTCCAATTTTGAATTGGACCTGGTCTTGATGAAAATAGTAAGTCAATCCTTTAATTAAGCTTTCTTTCTCCCATAATTTCTTCCTTATATGCTCAGTGTTATTTCATAAGCAGAATAAAGTTTGTAAATGTAAGTTCTGGATGAAAGAGAAGACATGCCTACATTCAGCTTCTGGGTTGATTAAAATTTAGGCATGATCTAACAAGGTGTGAGGTAGGGGTGGTAAGGACAGTGGGTGACTGATAAAATTTTTATGATACGAATAATTGAGAGGAAGTTCCAACTGAATTCCTAAACAGAATGAATTAGAATATTTCAACAGGAGTAATGGTCATTTCTGTCTCGTATGCCGAACCTAGAGCCATCATACCCAATCTGTCGAGTAGATTTTTTTTGGAGGAAATTACTACCACGCCCATTTAAGATGTGATATTAAACTTAGAAATCAAGTGTTCATCTGTGAATCTGTGTGTATACATTCTAGAAAATAATCTTAAGCAGTATAAATATTATTTAAATATTAGTTATAAACACTAGAAATTTGCAAGACACCTCTTTTCTCTAACAGTCTAATGAATAGGGTGGGTGCAGTTTACATTACTACATATTCCAAATTAGAACAGTGATAAAAATAAATGGAATTTAGACTAAGGAGATGTTACAATAGTAGACTTTCCATTTTCTTTCATGGAAACTACCTTAATATGTGGTTTCATATATTTACTCAAAGTTAGTTCCTAATACAGAATTAGGTTTCTTCAACTGTCCATGTAACATAATTTGTTTCTTCTGTTTCAAATAAGAATGCCCATGTGGTGTGTGTAGAATCTATTGGCCAAACTTCAGTGAGTCACACTGTATACCAAGCCCAGTGCTACATTTTGCAAGGAAGCCCAGGAGAGTTAAGACTGGCTTTCTGCCCTCAAAGGAAGAGCCCCCAAAACCATCATTAGATTAAAATTAAGTAGATACAAATGGAGAGATGCATGCATCAAGGACCGTATAAAGAACTGTATAAAGAAAGCTGTGGGTGCAGAAGGAAAGAGTGAACAAAAACACAAAGAGGAGAACATCACCTGCTTTGTTAGACTGCAGAAGGAGAAATGGTCAGTCAGTAAGAGGGTTACAGCGCAGAGCCTGGAGCATCGTAAAAGCAAGGTGAGGAAGTTATAGGCATGGATAAAGACAACGCAAAAGAAAAGAAAATGAACTCCATAGTGGGGAAAGGCATGCAAAAAGGTGGGTTTTAAGGAAGTGGGGGCGGGGGTTCTCTGGGAATCCAGTTGATCACCATGTCTATTTATAAATCTCCTTCAAGTGCTGATTAGATCATCTGCACACGAAGATCAGCACAGAATTACCAATATTGTAAGTTTCAGGGAGCGTGGTCACTAATTTTCTTTTTGAAATAACAGGATCCCTTTTTAAAATTTACTGGGCAGGGCATATCTACACTGAGGTACACAGGCTTTCTAGGAGATTCGGTCCAGCTGTTCACTATGGCGAACTGGGGGCTAGTTCTGCCCATGAACTCCACGTTGTGCAGACAGCCCCACCTGCACAGTAGTGCAGCCTCAGCGAATGCAGGGTGGCAGGTAGTGGGCAGACAGCAGGGAGCACAGAAGGTGGAGAACGGTGGAGACAGACTCCCAAGGAAGAAACGTTTGCTCTTTTTCTTCCGAATGGCCATTGTAAGATACAAGCTCTGTTAAGAATGTGCTAATGACAGAGTTATAGTCCAAGCTGAACCCTTGCCCCAGCATGGTGGTGTCCAGCATGGTGTGGTCCCTTGGAAAGGCATATTTCTAACTCCGCTTTTTCATGATACAAATTATCAAAGCGGTACATGAAGATCTATCATTAGCAGATGGTTCTTTACTTTAAAACTATTCCCTGGGTACTAAACACTGTATTAAGAGCTTAATAGAAATCACCTTAGTTTTCCCAGCATCCTGTGAAGTAGGCGCTATTATTCCATTTTGCAGATCAGCAGACTGAGACTTTGGGGACAGGGTAGGGAGTTTTGCTAAATCATCTAGCTAGTAAGTTGTCTAGGTGAGGCTTGAATCGGAGTCTTTCTGATTCCAATGAGCATGCTTTAACCTTATTTTGTATTGTCTTCAAAAAAACTGCTATGAAAAAATTGAAGAAAAATGAAAGGTTTTACAGAGGTGTCCTTTGTAAAATCGTAAACTCCAGGCACTAAAAAATATTTTCATCTGTACATGTTTTGTGCACACAGATTTTCTCATGCAATTTCTCAGTTAACAGACTCCTAGAGTCTAGTAAACGACAGGCTGATAGAGGTTTTCCCTTTTTTCTCTGTCATCCGTTACAAGCTCCCAACTTTAGACTGCTCCAGAAGGCATCCGGGTCTTACATGCCCTGTTTCCTCCCAAGGATTATGTCAGACAGAAATGTGCAGATACTTGGTTCAGACACAGATATTCGGTTCTCTTCCTCCCCAACATTATCTTGTCCCAGATCTCTTGTAGACTGTTACAAGTTTCCAGAAGTCCACCTTCTGGACACACTTCCACAAGGTTTACTCTAATATTTCTCTTTGATTCCTTCATTTGCTAATCTCCCCTCAATATGCCCTGCCTATGGCAAGACACTTTGGGGGTCTCTTTGCTTGAGGACTTTTTGTTATATAGCCAGCTTGGCAGCTGCAGAAACAGCCTCATCTCTGTAAGTTTCATTCCACTAATTAGCTCTAATTCTTGGCAAGTTGTTTTTCTTGTCAGTACTAAGTCGTGGCAGTATTGATGTAGATGGTAAAAATGCACTCCAAGATGGTCATCCTTCCACTAAATGTCATAATGAGATGTATCTTCTCACTTACAAAATGCATCCCCTGCCAATGCTGAAGAAAACATATAAATATTGGCAATTGTGTGACAGCTGACTGCTTTTACATTTAACACCATTTCACATGCAGAGTCCCGGCAAAGCAGGAACAGCACATATGCCCCCTGAGATTTGACACGCAGTGCTGGTGTGTAAAATATGGTATTGGAGTTTCAGGAGTGGGGGGTTGGGGGGACTTCCCCAAAGACAGGAGGGTGGATTGACTAGCTTTGGAAAATAAGAAAGTGGTATGTCATCATAACTCCTTCCACCAATGTGGAGCCATACTCAGGACGGTCTTTCTTTATTGAATTCACAATGTTTCTGCATTCCATAATTTACCTGCTTGGCACCCTGTTAAGAGGAATTACTTTTGAATGATAAAAGCTCTAAAAGTCTAAGGACAATGCAGATTCATTGCAACAGTTACCCAGCTTCACAGATGTGTTTCAAATATAAAATCAATGAGTTGCAAATAAGTGTAGGTTTTTATCTAGCCAAACTTACTCATTTTACAGAAAAAAATGAATTTTAGAAAGGTTAAATAATATGCTCAGAGCCCACAATTATACAGGTAGAATAACATTATTAATTGTCCATCCTGTTACAACCAGGCTGAAATATACATTAATTATTACAAATGGAGAAGACTCTCAGTATTTCCAGTGGATCTTTCTCTGATATTTTCTTTATTGCCCACAAATGTTCCTTCAAATTGGCTATGAGTAAAAAGATCTACTTGCTAACAATTTAGGAGGAAGATGGTACTCATTATTGTCCAGTATGAAATAAGCTGTAATGCTCCGGCTGCTGTCCGGGCTCAGCGAAACTGTCCCTGTGCCTCACCCAAGCTGTCACACCCCATCTCCCCATGACTGCTAGTCCCCCAGTAAACACCAGTGCCCGCAGACTGGGATGTAATGCAGACTTCTTACTCCCGAAAGCATTTCGCCTCCACTGCATATTGCTTTAGATGACAACAGAGTGGGATGAGTCTGTGCAAAGGCTGACTGCGATTACATGTTATTTAAGAGTAATTTTTAAAAATCCTATTTAGAGTGTGAATGACTGGATTCTTATGGGATGGTTTGCTGCATTACTAAAAAAGCATGACATGATTTGCCTCTGTCATCTATACGTTCTTCCCTTTACAACCTGCAATCCTGTCCACTCTCAACTCAGTCGCCAAACCCAGGGTTAATAGCAAAAGCATGCTATTGACGCCATCCTGGAATGCACTTGGCATTAGGACTTACTGCAACCGCATACAGGAATGCGTTAGTGAATGATATGTAGCATGATGTGTGATCTCTGACATTCCTTATAATTCTTCTGTTCTCATCTCCTTTTTTTTTCCTTTCTATTTCAATTACTTTGAGCAGCATCAAGAAAAAATTACCAATCCACCAAAATGAGTAAGTCCCCCGTGAAGCCATGAAATGCTTGCTCTACATGATTGCCATTTCATGCTTCTACATCCTAAACTCTGACCATTTTCTCCTCCGGGAAAAATGTCAAGTTTAGGTGTCGATAGCTCTCATTTCTGACTAATCATTAGAACCCGAATTGGAAAAGCTAACAAGACCTAACTGAGTTTACAGTTTGTTTTTAGAAAGAGCCTAAAAAAAAAAAAAAGTGACAAGACACTAACAATCCCACATTGCAAGGCCTGTGTACCTGCACTGATTTTCATTTTTATTTATCCTCCTTTTACTTGCCCCTCACTCAAATCTCGCCCAGTGCTCTTTCCTCCCCTGACTCGGCTACTCTCTGCCAACAGACTGGCCCACCCCGAAGGAAGCCTTCCGGACCTTGCCATGATGAATCTGACCACCAGCCTGGAGAAGCCGGACATCAGGAAGCTGGCTGAGCATGGGGATGATAAACCAGAGGGGTCCCCTGAGAAGGCTGAGCTTGGGAAAGACAGCGAGGAGGAGGAGGAGGAAGAGGAGGACGAAGAGGAAGACGAGGAGGAGGAGGAAGAAGGGGAGGAAGAGACGTCAGGTAACCTGCCCACGACCAGTAGCTGCTCAGAAAATCCTGGCTGACAGACTCAGTGAATGAAACAGACTTGTTCCCGGTGGATAGAGATTTGATCCAGTCCATGAAGTAGAAGCTGGGGTGTGGTCTTTGGGCTGCTATAGTTACAACAGTGGCGGTTCCAATTGCTCCCATCATTTCCTTGTGATTCTGAGGTAGGAGAAGAGAGCAGATGGCAGATTGTCAGCTCCTGAGCCACCAGAGGTGGTCCCCGCCAGGCTCAGGCAGTGTGTGTGTGGTTCTTACCTGTGCTCAGTCAGAAACCGAGTCAGGGAAGTTTCCTATCAGCAGCAGATGTAGGCAACTATGTAGAATTGCAGAAAGCTCTAGACAGGGCTTTTTCAAACGCATTCTCAAAGAAACCAGTCTGGGACTTCTCCAGGGAACTGGTAATTAAGAGCATACTTGTAATTCAGTCCTAATATTTCAGGACCTGGGAACTGGAGGGGCAAATGAGCAATGAGATAATTATCATGTCAAGCCAAGTCCTAGAGTTCTTTTTGTTGTCATTATGAGTTTAGGTTTTCCCTCTTTATTCTTTAGGCTCTTTTTTCTGACTTTCTTTATAGCCTTGAGGTAACGTTTCATAGGGCATGACGAGAACTGGACGTCCATGGTGATCAGGATGCCTTATCTGACAGAGAACAGAGAAGGCAGAGCACTTAGTCTGTTCTGGTGCTCTGTGCTGTAAAGGATTAGAAAATGAAAAAGCACAGGCAGAAGATCCCTCCCAAAGGCAAATTCCCCCAGACCTGGTCCCTTTTACCCCCTCATCTCAGAAGACCCTGAGAGGGACCCAGAACGGCTCTTTCCATGTCTAAGCAATGGCTGTTCCTCAGGGTGAAGGAGAACAAAGCTCGGGGGGACCAAGGACCCAGGACTAAGATTTGCTGTACTACTGCATGAAGGTTTTGAGCTTTACTAAGAGGATCTCACCAAAAATTGGATTGCACTTTGTTCTGGCACTCCCTCATATACCTGCCATCTACACCTCTAAATTATGCTCGGTTATGACTGAAATCTTTGTATCAACTATTATGTGTCACTTTGTAAATAAGCATTTTTCACAATAACTGAGACCTTACTGAAACTTTTAAAACCGAGGACAATAATTACTACAACCACCCCAGCCATGTGAAGAAGAAGATACTTAAAGAGACGCTCAGGTCTTATCTGTCTGGGCTCATGAGCTTTTGTCTACACATGTGGCCACATTCTGATGCCACAAAATAGTTCTGTGGTGACTTCCATTCACGTGAACCGGGACAGCCCTTCTAAACAGAAGCATGACCCCAGTCTGCAAAATATTACTACTTAGCACAAGGTGGAAAGAAGGAGATGACTAATATGATTAAAAATTATGATTAGGGTGAGTCTGACCCCATTTCGTGAACTGGGACTGGGTCATTCAGACCCTCAGTGTTCACTCTCAGTTGCAACGAGGAGCAGGCTCTTGCCGCTCACTCCAACGGGGTGACCAGTGAGCTTTGTCCACTCCCTCTTTAAGCTCCCGGAACTTACGGAAGCGCGGTCGTTGCAAGATAAATGTCATTTCAAGGGAGCTCAGTTACCTAATATTCCCAAGAAATTAGGGAATAAAGTAAATAAGAGTAAATAAGGTCAAGAAATACTCCTTCATGCTGATTTAATGAGTTTAAGGAGAGCAACCTTGTCCTTCAGAGTCTTGGTGCATGACGTCTAAATCATCATGATGTGGGATTTTTTAGACCCCATTCCTCCAGATTTTGATATTCTTAGAATTCATCCATTACTATTATTTTACAGCTTCTCCTTCTAACCTGAATGTTACAAGATCTGCTTTAAATAATAATGCAAAAAAAAAAAAACCCACAACATTTTATGCCCTTGGATGAATTTCCTATTTTGCAGATTTAAGGAACAAATGGCATCTGGTGATTGACCGCCTCACTGTGCTCTTCTTAAAATTCCTGGAGTATTTCCACAAGCTGCAGGTGTTCATGTGGTGGATTTTGGAGTTACATATCATCAAAATTGTTTCATCGTACATTATCTGGGTTTCTGTGAAAGAGGCAAGTGAACATTTGTTGTATCTTCAGGCCAGACAAAACCACAGTGGGTCATCATTTTCCTTTCCCAACTGTCCATGATTTTATTTTAAATGAAATCCCCATTAAATTAGAACACCAAGGCTCTAAGACAGCACATACACTTTGACATGCAGAAAACCAAAGGACAGTTGTCCTGAGATGTGGGAAACATAGCAGAGCAGAAAGAAGCTCCTGGCTTACTTCCTCATTGGCTTGGTCATATCAGAAGGGTTACTTATTTCCATGGAGTCTTTAGTTGAATTGTGTGAGAGCAGGCTGCTCTTCTGTACTACCTGTGCATAAACTCTCTTTGAGGAAAACAATAATATGCCAGTTTATGTTACCAAGGAGTAAACTCAGCTTCCCAAATTTAATAAAATCTGTGCCAGAGTTCACCTTGTTTATTATTGGTTGTTTTGAGACAAGACACCATGTTTCAACATTGTATTGCAGTTCTGTTTTCTCATCTAGAAGGAGGGGAGGCATCATTCAGCCAACAATTATTTGATGCTGACTATGAAAAGATTAGCTCCTTTCAATTTATTCAGCAGATAATTTACACATATTTCTCATTTCCCTGGACTAGTGTTGAGTGACAATTCAAAGAGTCTTTGCCCTCTACAAATTCAGTCAGGGAACTCCTGCCTCTAATTTTTAAAAAGTTAAATAATAACATCATATTACAACTACAACAACATAAACCTAAAAGGTTCACAAGTAGGTAACTAAGAGATGAACCTTAATGTGAGCTCCCCAGTCTAAACTAGAACATTCTCTACTTCACACAAACCATCTGGAATGGATCCATTATCACTGCCAGGTGGGAATAAAAACAGAAACTACTCTACCTGTGAGATTTATAGCGAAAAGGGACATGCACTCCACTGTTAACAATCTATACATTAATTAGAACTAAAATCTAGCCTACTATGTGTATTCATTGAAGACAAAGATGTTTAAGCATTTTAACTGTAGACATAAATTGACCAATTCAGAAAGAATTCGAGGGTAGAGAATTAAAGAGCAACGAAGAAGGGCAAGAGAAGGCATTTGGCTACAAATAGCAAAGTCCATTTTGGAATTAACCAAATCCGAGTTACAGATGTCTTCGGACGGCATGAGAAGTTGTTGCAGAGAAGACATTTTATGATGCCAGTGGGCATTAAATGAAAGAAGTTAGTGTGAGTAGGGCACAGAAAATCCACTATCTGAAATCCATCCTATGGAGTTCAGAAAGAGAAAGGAAGAGTTCAATGACACCACTTCTTACAAATCTTAAATGAAAGGCAGGCATATATTTGTTAAAATCATCCTAATGAGTCCTGAGAATGTCTTGTTCCTAGACTATCAAGTTGATAAAGCATCATGACCTGTTCATCCTGTTACACCAGTAGGAAAAAGGCCTTTGGTGGCATATGACCATTTCCTTCTCTAGGATTCATCCAGAACTTTCCTCCCTAATTCCATCTCTTTCACTTATAACTTTAAAGCACATCAGATGCTCATGCCTCAGAGAAATACTGCTCCCATTGCTGCTAACATCTGCCAGAATCCCCTTGTGAGAAGGTTAACCCCAAAGTGTGTCACCCTAGTTTCACATCCTGTTATCCCACCTGCATAAGGGGTTTCCGGCCCCAAAGGGTGAGTTCCTGCCTGATCCTTGGACATCATGAGGTGTCTCCTCTATGCACAGACTTTAGCCTCTGGGCTTCCCCTCATGACTGATTCTCATTAACGTCACTGCAGTATCAAGCGATCAGAACACGTGGGCTGTAATCATAAAAATCACTTCATTTCAGACCTCTACTGTCCCTTTAAAATGTATTCTACAGGGAAAGTTTTCTCCATGCCCCTGACTGCAAAACTTTCTGATCATTCCCAGGTAATAGAAAGTCCTATAGTTACCTCAGAGAGTGAACAGAATCTCTTCATTATTTAGACTTGTCCAGTCACAGAAAAGAACCACACTCTGATCTCTTTTTTTTTCTCATGAAGATAGAAGACTCTTCTCTTTTTTATTTTGTTAAGTTTTTATTTAAATTCTAGTGAGCTAACATACAGTGTGATATTAGTTTCAGATGTACACTATAGTGATTCAGCACTTCCATATAACACCAGGTGCTCATCACAAGTGCCCTCCTTAATCCCTGTCACCTACTTCACCCATCCCCCACCCACCTCCCCTCTGGTGACCATCATTGTGTTCTCTACAGTTAAGTCTGTTTCTTGCTTTGCCTCTCTCTCTCTCTCTTTTTACCCTTTGCTCATTTGTTTTGCTTCTTAAATTCCACAGATGAATGAAATTACATGGTATTTGTCTTTCTTTGACTGACTTATTTTGCTTAACATAATATGTTCTATCTCCATCCACATCATTGCCAATGGCAAGATTTCATTCTTTTTTATGGCTAAGTAATACTCCAATACCACATCTTCTTTATCCATTCATTAGTTGATGGATAGTTGGTCTGTTTCTATAATTAGGCTATTGTAAATAATGCTGCTATAAACATCAGGGTGCACGTATCCCTTTGAATCAGTGTTTTTGTATTCTTCAGGTAAATACCTAGCAGTGCGATTGCTGCATCATAGGGTAGATGATCTGTTTTTAACTTTTTGAGGAAGCTCCATACTGTCTTCCACAGTGGCTGCACCAGTTTGCCCACCAACAGTGCACGAGGGTTCCCCTTTCTCTGCATCCTCGCCAGCACCAAACTCTGATCTCTTACCAGGTAGAAGCGTTTCCTCTTCTAGCAGCCTCTTTCTTTCTCACACACACCCCCTTCACTGCCTCCCTCTCTGCCCTTCCTTCCGGTGAACTAACTTGCGTTATAAGGCCTCCCACGCTGAACCACAGCCTCAGGTGGGAATGGCGGTGTGCTTTCTTAGGATGGCCTCACAGTGGCCTGGGGCTGATTAAATCTCCCCTTTCTCTCAGGGGGCTCCTCTAGCGCCTGGTTTCCAGCATCTGCTCCTCCTGACCCTTTCTGTTGGAGTCTCGTCCCCTGTGCAGGCAGTGCCCCTGAGCAGGACGTAGGACGGCTCCGGCCCTCTCTCTTCCCCCTTCAGGTCTAAGGGCTGCACTCATGCAGTCTGTACTCTGCTAGTGTATGTGTCTTGCAATGAGGCAACTCCTGTCCTAGTCACCAAATCCGTACCAGCTGGATTTTCTGGGTGAAGTTGGCCATCGGTGTCCAGACTCCAGAATACACAAATTAGCGTCTCTGCATGGTACTGCTTGAAGCTCCTTGCTTGGGGTTTGGGTAGAGAATGTAGCATCCCTTCCTTCCTACCCCATCATCTTGTGGGGGGTGGGCACTGACAGAGCACCTCCTATGAAGAAATTTCTTCACACTCCCTCCTGTCAGCTTCACCATCTTGATCCATTTGTACCCTCCCAGAGAGCTTGAAAAGCCCTCTAAATGGTTTCCCCTCAACAGTTTTGGTTTGAAATTTCTACATGGCTGGCTAGCACCTCATTTTGGAAGGTTTTGCCTCCATTGGTTCTAATTTGCTGCCTCACTAGGTTTCAACTGAACTCTTTCTATGCTAATGAGTACAGTTGGGGAAGAAAGACAAACACTGATTCTTGTAAGGAGCCATGTGCCAAATCCAGGCTATGATATGTCTGAATCTTATCTGCTTATAACAAAGACAAGTGTCTAGGGTTCACATAGGGCGGGGGCAGGAAGGAAGCTATGCCGCACAATTCCAGGGGCATTGTTCACCTGTGACCAGCAGCCCCTGACATTGTGCACCTCTGAGCTGCTGATTTATACATTCAGGGGCTTCTTCTGCTTTGAAGGCTTGGCTCATCCTCAACCAGAGAAGCCCGTCAGTGATGACCTTTGCTACATATAGTTTCCATTCATAGCTTATTAATTTTGATTTGTACAAAAGATATCTCTTCTCAAAAATTGCTGATCAGTAAATGGCAAAATGAGAACAAAGTCAACGACCCCAATGAAATCTTCTTCCTTATCCAAGGCCATCAGCAGGCTGCTTGTTTTCACAAAATTTCAGAGTCATTTCTCAGGTCATTTTGGGGTCAAACATTAAACCTTTATAAGGTTATCATCATGGGCATTAGAGGAAGAAGAGACCATGAGAAAGAATTTATTATAGAGGCCGTTCTTTTACATCATTATCTCTTACCAGAGGGACACCACTTTGGAAGGACCTAGATTTTAAATATACATATAACATTGTCATCTTTTTTTTATATGCAGCTATGTTTCTAATTTCAAAGTTTCCTAGAAAGCTCTGAGAGATCAAGTTATTCTTTGAGGAAGGGATCACACCTTATTTTAGCATCCTGAGCAGCTCCTATGGGGCCTGGACAATTGTGGCAGCTCAGTAAAGTTTACTGGCTGAAGGAAATAAAACATCTTTGCAAGCTTGAGATTTACCCTACATGTCAATTGATGTTTCATTATTATTTTCACTCTCACTAACCATTCATTTAGCCTCTATTATGCACTTAAACTAAATTACAATAAATTGAATGCTTATACTCCACTAGATGTTGGCACAAAGGCGTGAAAGACACATTTCTTGCCTTGGCTCGCAGTCGGATGGTCATGGCTGGCAAACGAAACCAAAGTCATATTAGAGGCATCCCAGGAGGCTGTGGGTGCAAGGGAGGGGTGTGTCATGCAGGGGTCGTACTGTGGAGGTGGTCACCGAGGCTGCAGGTGCTCTGAGGGAGGAGGCCAGCTGGGCCAGTGCACAGCGGGGACCACAGTTCTCAGGGGCTCCTCTCTCAAGGTGGCGGCCTCAAGCCTTAGAAGTTTATATTCAGAGAAAGTGACAATTCGTGGAAAAGTGTTTTGTGAGGAAGGCATATGGCATAAAATTACCTCCCCAAATTTCTTGATAATAAAAATCACGTTGACACGTGTTAGATACATGGATGACCAGTGATTTCCCTAGAAATTCTGCTTCATCAGATATTGGTTGGGGCCCAGATATTTGTCTTTTGTAAAATTTTTTAGTACATTCCACGACATTCCCACCATCAGGGAAAGGATAAGACCATCATCAACCATGTTTATGTTGGACGAAGTATGGTGCTTCTCCGAGTCCGTTTTCCTACCTCACAGACACTGTTCCGACCTCATTTTACTTGATTCTCTATGACATTGGCTATTGACAATCATTTCCTTGTCCTTGAAGAGCTTCTGTTGTTTTCCAAAACAGCACACTTCCCCGGCCCCTCCCTTCTGCCTCATTCATGGGCTGTTTCTCTTCCTACCAACTCCTCTCTTCTTTAGGTTCTAACTGCAGCCCCTTTTTCTGATTCTAGACCTTCTGTGAGTGGTCTCATGAACTCCTGTGGTTCACTCACCATCTACATGCAAGAATTGTAAATCTGTGCTTTCATCCCATCCGGTCTTTGAACTCCAGGCCCGTATCTCCAAGTCACAACTGGACATGACCTCATCCTTGAGTGTCCCAAAAGCACCTTCAACATCTCTAAAACTGAGCCCCCTATCCCCACGTCATTTCCCTTTTAGTTTACTCTACCAGATGCCCAACCATGCCCCAATCTCTCCTCCTGCCAGTATGGATTCCATCTTGCAGCCACAACAGTCTTTCCAGTGCCTAAATATGTTCATGTTAATCCTCGACTCAAAAACTTTCAACAGCTCTCCTGTCCTTACAAGCATTAGCTACAGGACCCTCATGATCCGGCCTGGACCGCTTCGCCACTTTCTTTCCTAGACACCGTAGCCTAGGTGGATTCCAAAGCCCTCTGAAGGAGCCCTGATCACACTGCTCTCATGGTGAGCCACTTGCTACTCCAAGGATGTCCACCCCATGCTCTCCCTTGCCAGAAGGTCTCACACATGCTGTTCCCCTGCCTGGCAAACTCCCATTTGTACCTCCGGCCTCAGTTTGGATTGAACACTCATGGACAGTCTTCCCTAACCCTGGACTAGCTGATCAGCCCCGTGCTCCCATACAGCTAGCCTCAGCCCAGGCAGACACCCCCTCCACCATATTGTCATGACTGTCTACACGGTTCTCACTGGCACTACCTCATGTGTTTCTTGAGGCCAGGAATCCACACAGGATATGCTACCTTGAGCATGTTAAGACTTCATAAAATGTATCTTTCTCTAACACTCAAAATATTAAGAGTTCTATGTAAATTCATTGTGCTGTTTTTATGCTCAGTGCCTTAAATGCGTACTAAAAAGAATAACAAAGAGACTTAATTTCATAGTAGCCTTAATAGGCTTACAGAACTAATTGAGGAGAAAAGAAATGTTTTTAAATATCCGAGTTAATATGACACTGGCTGATGACGAAGGAAGAGTCATTTAGCCAATCAAAATATTTTGTTAAAATGTAAAATTTATTGTGTTTGTGAGCGCTGTAGAGTTCACAAGGCGGTATTTCTTTCCTCCTCAATTAATTCTGTAAGGCAGTTCTTACTACCCTAATACTTCAGCGCTTCATTCTCAGAGAGGTTCCTTGCCTGGACAGTGACAAGTAGTTAAGTAGAAAAGTAGTGGCTACTAAATTACAGAATTAAATACTGTCCCAGAGTCTCCTCATTTCTTGTTGTGTAGTTTTGTCAGCCAATCAGGTGACCATACGTTTTATAGCCCACAGTACTTAGCCCTGGCTACATGTTGAATTTTATCAACTGAATATGTGCTATTAATGTTAATTAATTCATGCTGATTATATTAAGTGTTCTTATGACATTATTTTAACAATATCCTGATCTTATTTTAATCACATGAGTGTTTTCCATGGATGAGTGAAATGGCTGTGCTTCTGTATTGTTCCATGAACTGTTGGCTATGGAGAACCATTGGAAATGATTGGACATCTTACCAGATTGATCAACACACACAGAGTCTAAAGCAAGTTGAAGTCACTGCCTCCCTCTTCACACCTGCCCCCCACCCCCACCAAGATCCTGTCTCAGTAGTGGCACGATTATCCTCTCAGGGCTCTGGCTCCCAAGCCAGAAACCTGGGAGGCGTTCCTTACACCCCCTCCTTTACCCCAGCCATTGCCACCATCCAGCCAACCAGTCAACAACTCCAGGTAGTTTTACTTCTCATCTCAAATCTGTGACTCCTCTCCATCCCTGCTCCACAGCCCTAGTTGGGCCCTGGTCATGTTCTCCTGGCAGTACCCATGAGTGGGTCTCCTCACCTCTTACTGAACTCCCATGGGTACATCTTCATTCTTCAGTTATACTTATTTCAACAAAATGAAAATCTTTCCTTAAGATTTTTGCTGGTAAGTCTTGACCCTCTATTTCCTGCACAGAGGGTTCCCAGGCCATAGCATGGTTTAAAAGGGGTCCATAAAGTGTGACTCTCAGTTGCATCTCCAGCCTCATTTATTGCTGCCATTCACCATGTTCAAGTCCAGAATTTCCAGTTGTCTGTGGTCACCTGTCCCTTCCATGTTCCATCATGCTTTCCTGCCTGTACCTGTACATCCTTTATCTGGAAGGCACCTCTCACCTTTCTTGGCCTGGATAACTTTATGCATCTTTCAAGACCCAGCTCAGGCAGGATCCCTTCCAGAAAATGCTCTGGGCACTCCAGATGGGGCCAAGGACCCCTTCTGGGTCTTCTCACAGGAGCCTGTTCCCATCTATAGTTGAGACACTGCTACGCTATATTGACATCATCTGGTTATGTATCTTTCTGTCATACAAGGACCTCCCCGCCAACACACACACACAACTAGGGCAATGCCTTGAACATGCCAGGAGTTCAGTCAGACTTTGCCAAACTGAATAAATCGAGTTGCCACATTTTGTGGCTCTTGTGCCATGTTATGTATTTTTGTCCCCATTTCTGATTTTATCTTTTCAGGTGTCTCTGTTCAACTATGTCTTTTTGATTTCTTGGGCTTTTGCTCTGCCATACGCCAAGCTGCGCCGTCTGGCTTCGAGTGTCTGCACTGTCTGGACGTGTGTGATCATCGTCTGCAAAATGTTGTACCAGCTGCAAACCATTAAGCCTGAGAACTTTTCTGTTAATTGTTCCTTGGTGAGCCTCAAAGACAGGGGACTCCTCTTGCCTGGTCTTTAGGGAAGTGACACAGATATTGGGGAGCCCACACCCCCAAGCACATTCTGTCCGGCCTTTCAGTCACCTCAGCCATGTTGGATACATCCTGGCCCTAGTCTTCTTCCCCTGCTGAGATCGCCCCCCCTGAAGTGGATCTTTCCCTCCTGGTCCCACTGTGTCCCTTTGCACAAAGCTTGAGGAGAAAAATCTGAACTCCTCCAATCTCTGCAACCATTTTTTAAAACTCTTTGTTCTCTTCTTTTCAGCCAAATGAAAACCAAACGAATATACCCATCCACCAGTTGAACAAGTCTCAGCTCTACAGCGCTCCTATTGATCCAACAGAATGGGTGGGCCTGAGGAAGTCTTCCCCTCTGCTTGTCTACCTGAGGGTAAGGCCTCCCTCATACTTCGCCTGCCCCTCTGCACCGTTAACTCCTGAGAGCCTTTGCCTTGAGACCTCTGATATCGTATCTGATAGTAACCTTGCCTTTTTACGTGACATTTGGAGTCACCTTTGAAACAAATGACTAAACATTACCATCAGTGTTGCATTGTGCTGAAAAGAAATTGATCGAGTAGTTTGAGATTGATTGAATAAAGTATGACAAATATATTCACTAGAATATATAGACTATATAACCACCAAAAGATTGAGGTAGACTGATAATGTGAGATGTTGAAAGACATCCAAAATATATTAGCTTTTAAAAAGGGGCAAATTTCAGTACACCATGCATAGTGTGATCTCTTCTAGATACAAGGAAAAATACCAAGTAAAATATACCAAATTGTGTATAGCGATTATTCCTGAAAAGCAGGTAGAGCATTTATGAGAAATGTTTGCTGTCTAATTGTTTCTCTACAATGTTTAATAAAAGACCTATATTATGCTGAAAGGTAATATAATTTTTTTTCAAGTTTTTATTTAAAATTCCAGCTAGTTATCATTAGAGATAATACAATTTTTAACAACCTATCTTTGAAAAGAAACTTTGCAAATAGTCAAAACAAACATTAATGAAAGCAATATGCTTCAGACTACTCCTGTTTTACTTTGATGGATAATCTGAGCGGTCTTCATACCACATAGAAGCACTTAGAAATAAAGCATTTATACTCATCACCTGGAATTTTTAAAAATACTAAGGGTCCCATTTTTGTGGGTAGCTTTCCCATTTTTTCTCATAGGACAGACATGATTTGCAGCAATACAAATGCTACCCACCGTCAAGAACTGTTATAAGGCTAAAATAAACTGATACTTGAAAAGAGCAATCAGAATAGCACATGCGGTACCATCAACATTAACTATTTTCATCATTACTATGATTATGTTATGGTCAGCAGCATGCTTGTCAGTCTGCGGCTCTCCCTAGCCAAATTTCCGAGGTGTTGAAAGACTTCCCCTGCAGCTTCATCTGTTTCCCAGATGGCCCTGTATCATTTTGCACTTCAAGTTGCAATCAAGTTTGGACCGCCCTCCCAAGGCAACTGGTCACTGCATCTTCCTATGGCTAGTGTTCTTTTCCAGAAACAGGAATGAGCATCACTGGCCTGCTGTCTAGAGATTCTAGATCCTAGCATCCTGGAAATTACCCTGATTGCACAGTGCAGTTAGCTCCACCTTGTTACTATACCATAGGGAAAATGAACATTGAATTCAGGACTTCAATAGAGGTGGGATTTTATAAAGCATTGTTCTTTTAGACACCAAGAATGTGAAAAAAAAGGATTGATTATGGGGGTTACTTAAAGTGACCAAGCTAAAGCGTTTGGCTTCACACAACTGTGTTTTCTTGCTTTGTAGAATAATCTCCTGATGTTGGCCATTCTGGCCTTTGAGGTTACAATTTACCGCCATCAGGAATACTATCGAGGTCGAAACAACCTCACGGCCCCAGTGTCTAAAACCATCTTTCATGACATTACAAGACTCCATCTCGATGATGGACTTATTAATTGTGCCAAATATTTCATAAATTACTTCTTCTACAAGTTTGGTCTGGAGGTGAGTTTCCTTGCTGATGTGGGTTGGTTTTTTGTTGTTGTTGTTGTTGTTGTTTTCTGTGAAAATCCCAATTGCTTTTTTTGGCCAGTTGGCCACTAGAGCTTACTTGTCCATCTCTGTGCTCTGATGACTGTCTCCTCAAGATCAGCATGAGGACATTCTGCTGAAGGGTTCACCTGGCCTGGTTGAAAGTTTTCTAAGACCAAGGTCAGTGCTCCCTACTCTGCCGCAGCGAACTTGGCCTCTCTGGATCTCTGTAGCTTTGCAGATGCACGGATATCACTTTGGCATTTTCACTGGCTTCTTTAATGTATTACAAATCTTCTTTGTGTTTTGTGCATTCTGAGAGTTTAACTTTCGCCAAAATGAACTGGTTTGACCTGAAATGGTTGATGTAGTGCCTGCCTCTTAATAGAAAGGATTTGGAACAGTGGTGCTTCACAAAGAGAGCGTAGCTGTATTCTCTTCACAGTTTGAAGTGGTTCTTATTCACAGTGATGTAGTCATTCATTTCCTTGGAAGCAATTTATACAAGATTTCAGTCTTCACGCTGTAAGACACCCCACAGAGGCAAGGCTTGGTGAACATGTGTAGACAGACACCCCTTCGGGAATGCAGGTCTCTGAGCCACCTGCACAGGGCTGACAGGTGACACCACTCCCCTTCCCTGTAAACCTGATTTTTTTTTTTTTTGCCTCTTTTCATCTTTACACAGACCTGTTTCCTAATGTCAGTTAATGTAATCGGTCAGCGAATGGATTTCTATGCCATGATTCACGCCTGCTGGCTGATCGCTGTCTTATATCGGCGTAGAAGAAAGGCCATTGCAGAGATCTGGCCCAAGTACTGCTGCTTCCTGGCATGCATCATCACCTTCCAGTACTTCATCTGCATCGGCATCCCTGCAGCTCCTTGCAGAGGTGCGTGGGCCCTTCCCCGGAAGCCAGCTGCTCTTGCAATCAGCCCTTTTGTCGTGGACGGCTGGGACAAGGGCAGGGAAGAAGCGTATTGATTTTGCTCTTTACCATTTCCGCCCTGCAGATTACCCATGGAGATTCAAGGGTGCTAGCTTCAATGACAACATCATAAAGTGGCTGTACTTCCCAGACTTCATTGTGCGGCCCAACCCCGTGTTTCTTGTCTGTAAGTGTTGGAGCCACGGGACTGCAGAGCACTGGGGTTTGGTTTTCTCTTTGCTGATCTTGGTGTGCTGTGCATCAATGCCCCTGCTTCCTCCAATGCACTTGGTGATCATGTAAAATCTTGTCTTGATGCATTAATATCACAAGTCCTTAATGGCTTCTACTGGCCCCCACTCCATTTGCAAAATTAATAAATAAACATTGGAAATACCATCTCCACTTCTGTAATTTTACCTCCCAACACACGCACACACCCACTCTTCAGCTGCCCCCCACACACACACACACCCCTCTACTCATCCACCTTCTAGAAGGTAGACTGCAGAGGGAGGCTTTGTTTTTTGCAAAGTGGTTCTTTCACGCTGCCACCATGGACAGACCAAAGCTAATGCTAAGACTGTGGAAGCTAGGAACATGCTCCCAAATTGCAGACTCTCGAGCACCAGACTGTAGCTCCGGCCCTTCCAAGGGTGGGCTGATGATCCCAACGTCCCCACCTAAGACGAGAGGGTCACCTCCAGAGGGACCATGCTGCTTCCACACATTCAGGTTTAATGTATGGGAGGCTGCCTGCCCATAACTGGCCATGATCTTCACCTGCGCTCCCCACCTTCATTGCCCTGTCCATCCACTCTGGGAAGCTTCCAGTTACAAACACACTGGGGGATGGAGAGCATGAAGAAAACCACAAGTGCCTGCCTCTACCCCAAGTAAAAAATAAAGATGGGGAAGCATATTCAACTGGCTTCCTCCAAATTTTGGTGGAGATAAATGCAAATAAACATTATCCCTTAAGAAAGTCAGGAGACTAGGGATTATCAACTGATACTTGCACTCTTCCATGACTGTGCCCCACCGCCTTGCATCTTCCATGGTGGGCAAGGTGGGACTTGGCCCCTAGATTGGAATCCAGGGAGAACTGTACACTGGGAACTTTGGGAATGCGACTCACTCATCCCTTGCGGGGACTGTCTGCTGCATCATGGAAACCTGGATGAGGAGAAGTGACTCAGCGATCCCTCTGTCCCGCAGATGACTTCATGCTGCTCCTGTGTGCCTCCCTGCAAAGGCAGATCTTCGAGGACGAAAACAAGGCTGCAGTGCGGATCATGGCAGGGGACAACGTGGAGATCTGCATGAACCTTGACGCGGCCTCCTTCAGCCAGCATAACCCCGTGCCAGATTTCATCCACTGCAGGTGAGGGTGGCTGCGCAAGTCCAAAGCCACTTCGCGTGTGCGTGTCACTTGGAGGACGTAGCTCCACTTCCAACTCTCTCTCCGCCATTCTTGGGAGACTGGGCGGCTAATGGTACACACCAGCCTCATAAATGCAGACAGAGGGCTCGGTGGTCGAGAGGCTGAGTCTCTGAATTACAGTTCTGCTTCTGCTTTTCTCAGCATGAACCACACATTTCCCCTCAGTTTCCCTCCACTTCTCCCCACACAAACTGACCAGGGCCCATGATATTGCCTCCTGGTGCTCCGGCAGAGACCCTTCCTCTGACTCACTGTCCCTCATCTTTGTCTTCTCTTCCTCCTCCTCTTCATCCCTGTCCCTCCTCCTCGGTCTCTCCTCTTCATCCCTGTCCCTCCTGATCCCCGTTCCTCATCCCCTGTCCCTCCTGATCCCCGTTCCCCACCCTCTCCCCCTTCCCCTGTCCTCCTCCTGGTCCTCCATATTCAGTGGGCACCGTGGCAGGCTGGGAACCACAGCCTGTCCCATGCTGTCACTCCCCTGGTGTGCTATCTTCTCTGGTATGTGGGTTGCCCTTGTAGCACCTTCTCCCATCCAAGTACTAACCAGGCCCGACCCTGCTTAGCCTCCGAGATCAGATGAGATCGGGCGTGTTCAGGGTGGTATGGCGTAGACTGTAGCACCTTCTCTGTCCTCCACTATCCTCCACAGTCTGGTGGCAGCTGATCTTGGCAGCGTGATTGTCCCCTCAACAGTTTGCATTTCAACCTGACTAAATTTCTCACTATGTGTTCCTTCTGTGTTCTCTGGGTTCCCAAGTCTTCGTGCTTTTTCTCACCTGCTGCCCCATCATGGCGGGCGCCCCTGCCTCCATGGTCAGTAATCACAGTCCAGCTCTGCCCCCTGTGGTCAGGGCCAGAAGGTGGGGGGGGGGTTCTATGCCTCCTCACCAGCCCTCCACCTCTGGACTCCCTGATCCTCACTAGTTAGCATCCACCCTCTGGGTCTGCTGTTGTCCCAGGGAGAGGCTGTGCAGCAGTGCGCAGCATGGAGATCAGTCTTGGACCAGCCGGTGTGTCTCTCCTCACCTGAGATTTGCTCCCTGCCTTCTGAGTCCCAGAGAATCGTGTTTGCATGGGACTGTTATTTGAAGACCCTATCCCACCCCCAGCCTGAGCAAGGATTTGAACCCAATCAACTTAGCTCCAAAACCTGGGTGCTGAGGCCCGTCTGTTCCTCTCAGTGGCCTAAGAGCTTAGCATGTACTGAACAAACCAGTAAGTGAATTTGCTTTAAAATGATAAGCTAGAGGTGCCTGCATGACTCAGTCGGTTAAGCATCTGCATTCAGCTCAGGCCCTGATCTCAGGGTCCTGGGATGGAGCCCAGTGTCGGGCTCCCTGCTCAGTGGGGAGTCTGCTTCTTCCTCTCCCTCTGCCTCTGTCCTCCCCCCTGCTCATGCTCTCACTCTCTCTCAAATCAATAAAATCTTTAAAACATAATAAAAATTAAAATTAACAATAAAACAATGAAGTAAAATGAGAACCTATGTAAACCTGAAGATTCCTTTTAGGAATAATGTACCACACTAACCACTAATATAAGGTATGAATTCCACTTTTTACCTCTTCTCTGTGATACTAAGAGAAAATATCAGTGCAGCTGATCTTTTTACCTATCGAAAGAGAGAAAAATAAGTTTTTTTCTTTAAGATTTTATTTATTTATTTGAGAGAGAGCACAAGCGAGGGGAGGGGCAGATGGAGAAGCAGACCCCCCGCTGAGCAGGGAACCCAATGTGGGGTTCAATCCCAGGACCCTGGGATCACGACCTGCGCGGAAGGCAGACACTTAGCCAACTGAGCCACCAAGGCTCGCAAAAAAGTTTTTATCTGAAGGCAGAACAGTAAAATCCACAAGAAATCGTTAACAGCACGTGTTTACGTTTTATCATGAATCAGACAATGCTTGAACAATTCACAGTGACAGGAAATCTAGAACAAAATCAAATATCTTATCACATCAGGTTGAAAAGTTGGAGAAAGATAAGTACTCAACTCCACAGTGTACTTGAAAAACCTAAAACGTCAACTCGAAAATTTTGTGCACCACTGATTTTTAGAATGGTATCTTTGAAAAACTGAATTATTTCAAGCTTTTAATTCCATTTCTCAGTGAGGACTGCCAGAAAAGTGCATCTCAGGCGGTAACCTGTCACACCACAGCCGTGAGCCAGAAGCTAGCGACCGCTTTGCTGTGGGAGGCGCGGCGTCCCCCGAGCCCTCTCTGTGGGTATATGTTTCTCTGCAGCTCCGGAAAGCAGCCTCTTCACCTCACTACATGTCCCCAGGGCTCATGCATCTGCTCCAGGGTCCCTGAGCCTCCTCTTTGGGGCACTTTGACTGGTGTTTTCCATGTGACCTTCAAGTTTGGTCTTGTGATTTCTGAGCCTGAAGCAGGTTAAGTGCTGAGGAGCGGAGACTGGGGCACCTGGAGCAGGAATGAACTGTGGGCAAGGAAGGGAAATCCACAGGAAGCACATGTTACACTAACACACACGTTTCTACCTGCACACACACTCACTCAAAATGCCAGCAGGCCAAGTCTGCTGACTCCAAGTGTGCACGCACGCATGCGCACGCGCACACACACGGGAAGGCCCTGTGGGATTCCGGTATTACGTCTCAAATGAATCACTGATTTCACCAGCAATGCTCCTGGGATGCTGAGAAATACCAACATTTTATACAGTCTCCTTTGGCTATAACGTCAAAGAAGGGTGAAATATATTTGAGAGGGAAATTTCATGAAAGCATTTTAAAGGATTAAGTATTTTACTCCCAAAAGAGTAAAGTTCAATGAAGTTTGCTTATCCGACAATGTACCTTTTAGGAACAGCTTTCTCTAATGAGGCTGAGTGTTGGACAGAGCCTCCAGCCTCAGTGTGGCTGTGTGTGCTTTGTGAGAACGCCTTCTAACCTGCAAGGAGGGATTTCCACCTCCAGTAAGACCTTCGATGTAACACAACTTGTTTTATCTATCGATTTCTAGTTCATTTAAGAGAATCCAGTCTCACCTGTTCTCTTGCTTCGGGAGGACTCTGTATCTTAGACTTACCCTTGCCATACAATTATTCATGCCTCCTATGGGAAGACAGGGAGGAATTTTGAGTACTCTAGTAATAGGCAGAAGATACTGCTGTGTGTGGGAAATTTGGCCCAAATAAGGTACTGTTAAGTGTTTTCACAACGTACCTATTCGTCTATTACTAACTGGGTGAGGATTGCCTACAGATGAGGCAGTGTTAAATGAAAGATGAATACAGAGCTCACAGTATGACTTGCACAGTGCTTCCATATTGTCAAATGGATGGTATGAAGTCTGTCCCTCATTACAGTAGAATCTCCTGCCTTAATTATTTATGTGTGTTGTCGTCCTTTGATGGTTCGGTCTTGTTTTCCAGATCGTACTTAGACATGTCCAAAGTGATCATCTTCAGCTACCTCTTCTGGTTTGTCCTCACAATCATCTTCATCACGGGGACAACCAGGATCAGCATCTTTTGCATGGGTTACTTGGTAGCCTGCTTCTATTTCCTGCTCTTTGGGGGTGATTTGCTGCTGAAACCCATCAAGAGCATCCTGCGCTACTGGGACTGGCTGATTGCATACAACATTTTTGTGATTACGATGAAAAACATACTGTCAGTAAGTGCCTCCCACTGTATAAAACATTTGTGGTTTTAGCATAAGAGTAAACAGTCCATTCAGTGGTTATTAAAAGCCCAATTGCCCGTCACACTCCTCTCTTAAAAGCCCCAAATAAGATGATGCAAAGTCAGAATTCAAAGAACCATTTATTACTCTTGTTTTGCCACATTAAGCAGAATCCTGTTTGCTCACGTCCACCGTCTCAAGGTCACATGGCAGGAGGATAGGGATTTGTAGGAATACATTCTAAAATGTATTTTTAAGTTAAAATCTCGTTTCTTCTGAGGGATCATTTGTCACCATTCACACTTTGTGCTACAAAATGGCCCTTTTATGACCTGAATTAGTCATTGAATCTCTTCAAAACTGATATTGTGTTGGCTTACCTAGAAAGAATTATGGAAGTGTAAGCCAGTAGTGGGTGGGGGCAAAACACATCCTTCCTCTACAAAGTTTAGCTGCTCTGCTATTAAATGTCCACGTCCCGGGGCACCACATTCCCCCCTGACCAAGTAGGTAACTCACTCGGCCCACTAGGCATCCCAGGATCTTTTGGACCACAGGGACACCTTCTAAGGTATTTACTGTCTCAGGAAATTAAACAACAACCTTTCATGAGCTGAAGGAGTTAATACATCTCTAACTGGCCCTAAGTCAGAGTTAATCCTTGCACCTGCTGCTGCCAAGTACTGATAGTGCATTAGAGGGGCCGTGCGGTAATAGCTTCCTGCTTCTCACCTTCCTGGTTACTGAAAGATGAGCTCACCAGGCAAGTCTACTATGCGGGCATTTCATTTTTTTTTTTTTTTTGGCACGTGTATTGCTGTGTTTAGAGGTCTTGGAAAACCAAGTCTGTGTCACCATGAATATGTATTTGAGTCATTTATTTTGTCTAAGACCATTGAAATTTTGTCTAAGATCAGTTGATAGTAAAAGTGACTCCTATGCAGCAATTTTACCCCACCCATATTTATGTACATTTGGGGTAGTATTGAAAGTTCTTGGACAGAGAGAACAACAGAACACCATTCATTTGATAGCCAGTCTGAAAGTGAGGGATCTGTTGCCAGAGGCTGATTCTTACAACCAGTCCTGGAAACGTATGGCCACAAAGTTCATTCATTCATTCATTCATTCATCCTGTAAACCTATATTGCAGACTTGCTAGGCACTGTTTTTGTCTTGAAGAACTAGATATAGTACTGCCTTCAGGTTTTACCCTAAGGAACTCACATTCTTAAAGGGAAGACAAACCTACTTATTAATAATTATAATGTGGTCTGTGAATGCTAAATATCACAACATTTTAGGAAACCAAAACAAAAAAGGAGTGCCTCATACCTTGCCTGAATTAACTGGGAGCAGACTTCTGGGAGGCGGTGCCATTTGAACCCATCAGAGACTTGAAAACTAGATTCAAGGGTGTCCAGAGAGACAAAGGGAGGAGGACACTCCCAAAGTAGAGAACACAAACACAAGTATGGCCGTGTAGGACAGAGACAGTCATGTGAAGAGCATGTTCCAGTGGGTGCAGGGACTCAAGCTGAGTAACTGCCAACTTGGGAACAAATTCTAAATATACTCCCACCTCACATGTTCCCAGGAAATACGCACAGTTCAGCCATCCCTTTTATGTATTGGCTTGCAATGGTTGTCTTTTTAAACTTCTTCCCCCTCAGCATGTGAACTTAACGTAAATCATTGTTATGAGAGAGACAACGACATGCCAATCAATAAAGAATATTCCTTTGCCCAGAGAATTAACCAAAAAAGGCTCAAAATGCATGTTCTTTTCCTATTTTAAGAATGCCATGCAGCTGATGTTTGTGATGATCTCCTGGCAAACAGCATAGGTTTAATTTGTCCGATCTTGTGAGATAATAACTATACCAAAATCAAAGTCCTGGGGGTCATTGTTCACCTGTTTGATATCAGCGTTTGGCTTGTTCCTACAGAAGTCCAAGATTTTCTCTATGAAAAGACAAGTGCTTCTAAGTGCTGAAATCATCACACTAAAGACTTTTCCTTTACTCATGGGGTTTATTTCCCCAAGGAAATTATGGTGCTTTTAAAGCACCAAGTGCACTACCCCATGGTGACTGAGATTTTAGGTTCTACAGGTACCTCCTGGAATCATTGGCACAGAGACTTTGTGAATTCTTACACAGAGTAGGATCACAAAGCATCAACCTCTTTTTCTGGGCACAGAGTTTCACAATTTGCCACTCCCATTTGTTTTTCAGATAGGAGCATGTGGATACATTGAAAAATTGGTTCAAAATAGTTGCTGGTTGATCCAAGCTTTCAGCCTGGCCTGCACTGTCAAAGGCTATAAAATGCGTAAGTATGCAAGGCAAATTTGGAAGTGTAAGGACAGAGAAGGAAGGATGGTTGTATTGTTCTAATTTTAAAATTGGGCCAAAGCACACAAAGAAAAGAGAAAACAGTGACAGTCAATTCGACCTCTAGATGGAGGCAATAGGACTGTAGTTCATTATGAATCTATTGTCCATAACATGAAGTGCTCCTACTCCAGGCATCTTTGATCATCCTCTGGAAACTTCTCAGACTCTGGCAGGTCTGGGGACTAGGTGTGGCCCATTATACTCCCCAAACTTCTTTGAGTTACATTAGGAAGGGTTACAGAAGGCCACAGGCCTGTGGTGGTTGCCGCTAGAATCTTGGGTTGTCAGAAAGTTCCTCTGGCTTCCAGGTCCTTCTCTCCTCAGGAAGCTCAGGGAGCTTCAGACTCAGGAAAACAACTGGGAGGAACTTCAGGGTCTCTACAGTTCCAGAAGTTTCCATTTCCATCCCTCTGCCTCTTGAACCATGACCCAGGATAACACCATGCTCCTCCTTGGCACCCAGGATGGGGAAACTTGAACATGACACTCTCCCCACTGTGGCTTCCAACCCAGGTTATGCTTTGCCCAGGATGAAGAGTAACTGGGAATTTGTTCCAATTTAGGATAAGATGTCTGTGGATACCTCTTCTTCTAATAGACAATACTGTGTTAACTGCTCTTCTGGTTACCCCAGATCACTGTTGCCAGAAAAGGTGGTTTTGTTTTTTGTTTTTGTTTATTTGTTTGTATCAGAGCATTGCCTCTGGCATTGGGACATAGAGACATTATTTCTCCATGGCCCTTGTTCAGGGAGAAAGAGATCTCTCTCCCTCTAAGAGAGAGAAACACTCAAGAGCCATCCCTGACAAAGAGACCCTCCTGTGCCTTACACTGTCAAGAGGTCACTTGTGGTCAGTCTTATGAATCAACGTTGATATTGGATTTGAAATATGTATCTTTGCCTGTAAATAAATGCACCCATAAGTGAGTCCATGCATCAGAATGTCGCTCTTATGCCTGTGGGATTCCTCAAGCCTGATTGTGCTACAGATATTATAAAATGACAATGAAAATGGATGTTAATTTTAATTTGTTTTTTTTTTCTACTTTTTTACCCCAGCTGATGATGATTCCTCGTGTAAACTACCCAGTGGTGAAGCAGGAATTATTTGGGACAGCATATGTTTTGCCTTCCTTCTGCTGCAAAGAAGAGTTTTCATGAGTTACTATTTCCTACATGTTGTGGCTGATATAAAAGCTTCACAGATCCTGGCTTCGAGGTAGGTCGGGTCATGGAATCAAGTGGTTTCTCTTAAAAAAACTGTCTGGAAGTAATATTGCACTGTGCTGTTGCCTGAGCTTGCTTGTAGAACCCGTAAGAAATTAAGAAACTATGCCCACTTTCACCACTATTGTTCAACATAGTACTAGAAGTCCTAGCAACAGCAATCAGACAACAAAAAGAAATAAAAAGTATTCAAATTGGCAAAGAAGAAGTCAAACTCTCTCT